GTAATGGCGCACTGTGGGAGTGGTGCGCCTAGTAGTAATGGCGCACCACACCCACGGTGCGCCATTACTAGTTTTGAAAAAAAATAAAAAAAATTGAAAAAAATACTAGTGGCGCACCGAGGGTGTGGTGCGCTATTACTAGTAATGGCGCACTATCCCCTGGTGCGCCATTACTAGTTTTGAAAAAAAATTTGTTAGTAGTGGCGCACCGTGGATGTGGTGTGCCATTAGTATTTAGAGTTTAATGGCGCACCAACACATGGCGCCACTGCTATAGAGTAGTGGCGCACCACATGTGTGGTGCGTCATTAATGTCCATATTATCTATAACCCTTTTTCTAGTAGTGAGACCACACTTAATGAACTTTAATCCAGCATACCCGGAAGCGTTCGTCATGTGGGGCATGAATGACTTTACATAATTCACTAGGCGACTGCACAAGGATATATCCCCGCTTGACAAACTTTAATATAGCATGCCCGATGCTTTCGTGTTCAAACACGAATGACTTTACTAAAAGCACCGGGTGATTGCACAAAGATAGACCCCACTTAAATGAACTTTAATCCAGCATACCCGGTGCGTTTGTGTACACACATGAAGGACTTTACGTAATTCACTGGTGAAAGTGCAATCATGCCCTAAATATTATTTTGATGTTGATGACAATATACTTATAGGGGACTAACAAAGTTTGTCAAGTATATCTCAGGTTTTAGTCCCCTCGGAATCAATTGTGTGTGTGGATTATGATTTCGGAAATGTTTAACCTCATCAGGAACGAAGAAACAAGACTATCTTTATGTTTATTCTTTAGTATAGGATCCCGCACTATTAAGAGGGAAACATGGGTTATTGTGAAAGTCTTGATCAACATCTACTTCAAAGTCAGTGTCTGATCTTCATCTCTGTCGGACGACCGGTACTCACCTGACGTCCGACCGCTTCTATACAGAGCCAAAACATCGGTCGTCCGGTGTGCACCGAACGTCCGGCAAATCCTATCCAGAGCCAAAACATCGGTCGTCCGGTCCTTGTCGGACGTCCGTTGTCTGCAGAGCCCTCGGTCGTCCGATATTCTTCGGTCGTCCGGTACTCTCTCCACAGAGCCTGAACGTCGGACGTCCGGATTCTCCGGTCGTCTGGTACCCACTATACCGTGCCAAAACATCGGACGCCGGTCCCTGTCGGACGTCCGGTGTCTGTCAAGCCTTCGGTCATCCATTGTGTATCGGATGACCAACGCCGCAGTGCTGTTTTGGGCTCCAACGCCACTTATTAAGGCATACTATAAATATCTATCCTATCCCGTGAGAAAGTTGACCATTCACTTCAATATAGCATGCCCAGTGCTTTTGTGTTCAAACACTAAGGACTTTACTGAATAGACCGGGCGATTGCACAAAGATAGACCCCCACTTAATGCACTTTAATCCAGCATACCCGGTGTGTTTGTGTACAAACATGAAGGACTTTACGTAATTCAATGGGATTGCACAAGGATAGATCCTCGCATGACAAACTTTAATATAACATGCCCGATGCGTTCGTCTTCAAACACGAAGGACTTTACCGAAAGCACTATGCGATTGCACAAAGAGAGACCTCACTTAAATGAACATACCATGACCGGTCTTTTATATCCTAGGTAGAAGTACTTTAGCAATGTATGTCTGAGATCGGGACTCTCATCGTCCCATGTTGGTTTCGTTCTTGACTAGAGACTAGATATTATTTGAGTTGGCAATAGCACCGGTCTTTTGTTGCATAGTTGGAAGAACTTTAGTGGCCTCTTATGGTCGAACGCGACGAAATTTAGAGATAATAGTCATATGTACCGGAAGACGGGCCTCTTGCACTCCACCATGAAGAATTTTAATGATATATTGATTGGTATGTTTTTTCATGTGGGATCTGAAAACCAACCCCATAATTATTGTGTTATTGCTCTCGACGATGAAGAACTTTAGTTTCATTACTAGACACTACACCCGATATTACACCACAATTGGGGTTCTGGGGAAACCAACCCCATATAACCATCGATGTGCACTTTATATCCTCGGTTCTGGTCCTCTTATGGTCGACCAAGAAGAACTTCCTAAATAGTAGCCATATGTACCCGAAGGCGGGCGTCTTGCACTCGGAGCTGGATCCTCTAACTTAGAGAAGGGAAGTCACGGTGCTATAGTACACCTCTAGTGTAAAATGGAGAAGGAATGTTATGGACTATTAGCATGTTATTTACTTTTGGTAATTATTACTATAGATATGAAAAAAATCCAAAATTAATTTTATATCACCATCAACTTGTTTGTATGCAATCACTATGAATGTGCACACTAGATCTGTAATTTAAAAATTAATTTAAGTTATTTTGGCCTTAAGTGTATGGATTAACAAAAGAAAAGTTAGGGTACTGTAGCTTCTCTAATATTCCTTGTGTATGTTAGTCCCTTTCACTCGACCAAGAATAATACTGTTAGAGATTGTTGGGATATAAGTGCCAGTTCTTTTCCTGGCTTTTTTGGGCTTTCAGAATAAGCTGCCCCCTACACAGCTTATTTTAGAAGCCAACCAAAATTTTCATTTTAGAAGCCTGCTAATCAAGTCTTAACTACTAGGCTTCTAAAAAAATAAATTTGGCTGGGCTTCTAGAATAAGCTGGGCAGGGGGCAACTTATTTTAGCTTATTCTACAAGCCACCAAAAGAACTGGCCCTAAATCAGTCCCAGTGACTGATCCCACCGTCCGCCACACAATCAGTACCAAATTGATTAGTGAAGTATTTGTTAATGGTCAATATATTTAGCACTAAAATATACTGATATTGGACTTGTTGCGAAGATCTCGTCATATAAAATTCAACTAAATAAATGAATTTGAATTTTCATAATATATTCAAAAGATATGGTGACATATTTGTTTATAGTGCAATTTCGTGTTGAAGAGATGGATAGGTAGCAAGAGCTAGCCGTAGCATGGCTAGCTGAGCAGATGTGACAGCGCCGCACATGCTCCTGTGGCCACCCAGGGAATATCTTATTGTTGAACTATTGGCTCGGTCACTTCGGAGTACACTTTTGTTAATTTTGATGCATACTCTGAAGAACTTTGTTCGGGTACTCCGAAGAACTTTATACTATCATGCATGTTCTAAATCTCTGCCATATAAACCATTATAGGCGGTTATAAAAAAGTTGCTCTTTTTCATGATTCAATATTGTCAGGCCATACTTAGCAGATAAACTAAGGAGTAGTATGGTTAGATCTGAAGCATAAAAGATGGCAGGGAGGGATAAGATGCATGTGAAGGACGAGGACGGCCGAATCTATAGACTCTGTCCCACCACCTGCCGAATCTGATGGAATACATCTCCATATACACCCTGCCAAAAATTGTGGGACGCTGGGATACCATGCAAAGCTGACAATGTGGTGGGCCTAGTTGATTTGACACCACGGTTGATGTGCGGTTGAGATACGAATTATGCGCGCAATGCGTTAGGAAAAATCCACATCAAATTATCCGTTTTATTTTTGGGAGTACTTAGAACACATCTAGATGAGATATAATTTGGTCTTATCTAGATGAGTTCTAGTAAAACTGTTTACTTTTACACATGCATGGCGCTCGTACATGGTTTCCAACGTTGGAAGAAAGGACGCTTAACACATGCGCTAGGAATAAAATAATATTATATTGCCGATCAGGCGCATGATTAAGCGCATTGCATTGGAGATGCCTGATGGAGACGGCGCGGGATGGTCAAACTGAACCTTCACAAATAACGGAAGTTCCATCTCTATTCTCCATCTGTGTTTAGACAAAGTGCCCGTGGGATCGATTAACAGTGAGCTACCTAAAATACGCCTGACGACTCAATATACTGCTCCCTCCGATTCGTATTACTTGTCGCTTAAATGGATGTGCCAACCACAAAAATACATGTAGATACATTCGTTTGAGCGACAAGTAATGTGGATCGGAGTACAAGAAATCTGGTGTAGTACTGCCTCATCTGGTCCATCAAACGACAAAAATGAAGGGCCCAATTTAGTTGATGTACCGTAAAAAGACTAATAAATAAATAAAAATAAAAGTAGAAGATGGAGAGGAACGCTGTCCTGTACGTAGCCAAATCTTTAGCTAGATCTATGAATACTGTAAACGTCCCTACGGCAACAAGTAATGAAATGCAGAAAAATGTCTAAGGTAAAAACGAATGCGGAAACTAATTCGAGAATATACCGTTGCAGCAGGCGGCGGGCTGTTGGCTCGCAGCTCCTCGACCATATCGAAGATATCGTAGGCGGTCTTCCTCACCCGCCTCAGCCAGTACCAAGCCAGCCTGCCCGGTACCGACTGCCTCTCGGCGGCCTCTATCAGCGGCTGTACGCCTTCCAGCACCACCACCATCTCCTTCAGATCGCTGGTGAACTTGTCTCCGGTCATGGCGGATCTGAGCTTCATGCATGACCTCTGGACGATGACTTGGGCCATGGTTGTTTAGTCCACTGGGTGACTCAGTGTGCGTGTGGTAGCAGACTAGCAACGCTTGGATGAGCGTGCGCGCAAATGCCGTTACCCCGTGACCTGATAAGCTAAACTATGCCGATAGGATGATACAGTATTCTTTAACCAACATCAAGTGGAGAGTGGTTTATCTAGCGGTCCTGGGTTTTACCAGCTAAGTACAGCTCACACGATTGTTCTGTGAGATTGGTGATGTATTTGTTTCGTCAATCGTATTGCATAGGGCGTACACAACCTCAACCGATGAGTATATTTGTACATGTTGGGAATAGTAAAAACAGGGAAAATTTATGGTACAGTATAATACACCAAAGCATGCGTATTAGATGGGCGATCTAATGAATGAGACTAACTGGGCTGTTTAAAGCCCAAGGGTGATTTCGACCTAAAAATTTGTATACCTTTAATGGTCCCAATTAAGTCCAAGGGTATTCCCGTCCTAAATTTTTCAATTAACTTAATTGCATTAACATTGCACTTATTATTATACCACGTCATCGTGAGTGCTCACTTGAATTTTGGTGCGAACTGTTCGTCCTCTACTCTCGAGGCGTAGTCTCCGACGCCCTCGATCGCCCTTGATCGCCGCCGCACGCACTTGTCGTGTGACTCCTTCACCTACTCCTTCTCCCCCCTCCATCGCAAGCCACCCCCCTCGGGTCATGGCACTAGATCTCTCGAGGGGCCGCCTAATCCCCTCCTTCCCAGATCCGACGCCACCTTCCCCGATGCGAGGCCAGATCATCCTCATCGAGGTGCATCAACTTCTTCACGCCGGATCCGCTGTAAGTGCCTAGCCATCTCATATCTTGTCTGGTCCCTTCTGCATAGTACCAATATAGGGTCGGATTTGATTAGGGTTTAGGATATGTGATCTGAGGTTTAGGGTTTACGGTTTGAGAAAGTTGGACTAGATTTCAATTGAAAGGAAGTGTAATTTGGATTTAGCTAGGACATATTGAAGGACTTAGTTAGGGTTATGTGGCATGAGAAAGTTGTCAGCAGATTTGGATTCAAAAAAAGTTATTTTGGATTTAGTTAGGAGATACTTTTGAATTGAGGTTCGAGATATTTTGCATTTAGTTAGGAGATAATTTTCGATGGAGTTTGGAGTTATTTTGGATTTAGTTAGGAGATAATTTTCGATGGAGTTTGGAGTTATTTTGGATTTAATTAGGAGATACTTGATCTATCAGGGTGGATCTATCATGACATTAGAAGGATTCATGGACTTTGCATTTAGTTAGGAGATCATCAGTTACAACAAGTACAATCAATCAAATATTTGTGGATTTAGTGAGGGCATATTTTATACTTAGAGCGTTTGAAGGACTACGTTAGGTACATGAATCCGATATGAAAAATTAAATCAATTATTTCAGCAGAGTAGTGCATAATTATTATGTATGCTATCCATACGTAACATTGACTATCCGTTTTCGTTCGCAGCATAACGACATGGACGATAAAGGCAATGATGGCGAAAACTTGGGTGATACAGGGAAGGATGACAAGGACATGGGTGAGACAGGCAAGGATGACAAGGACACGGGTGATAGAGGCAAGGAAGGCAAAGGCATGGATGATAATGATAATGATTTCGTAGGCATGAACCCCAAAGAATGGATGGTATGTGCATGGATGATAAGGATAATGAGGATGCAGGCAAGGATGGCATAGACATGGATGATGTACACATGCAAGGTAAAGGAATTGATAATAAAGGCATGGCTAGTTCAGACTTGAATGAGTGTATGAAATACTTAGAGATTGTGAAGAAGACTTTCATGACCGAGGAAAAGCCTACATGTTCTACGTAGGCTATGTGAGAAAAAAGGTTTTGGTGTTAGAAAGGTTGATCTCAAGTACATGGGTCCGGGTCTGAAACAAAATGCATACAGAAGGACATACAAGTGCTGCAAACAAGGATGGCGGGCCCTTAAGCACTTCAACAGAGATGAAAGAAAAAGAACATCGAGGGGTCTTTCTCGGTGTGGGTGTCCCGCTCTTTTTTAGGTTGAACTACACGATAGCACTGGCCTCTGGTTCGTCAAGAATTTTGTGGACAAGCATAACCATCTGTTTACCCCTGCTGACCCGACTCCCTATACTTATCGACTCATCGTAGAATGACTGACGCGCAAAAGGCCGATGTCATCGAGTATGCCATCGGTGGACTTCGAACACATCAGATTATGAACGTAATGGAGAAGAATGCTGAGGTCCCGACAAGCTTGGATTTATAGATCGAGACCTATATAACCATGTTTCAATCCAGAAGAAACACAAGATAGAAGGCACTGATTCTAGATGTTTGCTCACCTATATGATTGCACAGAAAAAGGCAGACCCGGAGTTCTTTTTCAAATACACAAAAGACAACAAAGGCCATTTGAGGAACATATTCTGGGCCGATTCACAATCCCGGATTGACTATGTTGCCTTTGGTGGTGTCGTGGTGTTTGACAGTACATATCGGTCTAACAAGTACATGCTTCCATTTGTCCCATTTGTTGGTCTGATTCATCACCGCATCACAGTTTTGTTTGGGGTCGGTCTAGTTCAGACGAGACAGTTGCATCATACCAGTGGCTTCTTCATGTATTTTTGGAGGCAATGTCCCAGACAAAACCCATTTCAGCAATCACCGATGGGGACGGTTCAATGGCTAAAGCAATAGCTACTGTCTGGACCGGAACAGATCATCATTTGTGCATGTGGTATATCGAGGAGAATATGGTGATGCACCTCCGGAATAAAAAGCTTGAAGAATTTAGGGAATTCATTTACCGTCCTTGGGATATTGATGAGTTTGAGAAAAGATGGGAGGCTTATAAGGTTCGATTCAAAATAAAACCAATGGGGAAGAGGTCGTCATGGTTTAACAGGATGTACGAGCAGAGACACAAATGGGCTGTGGCGTACACACAAAGGGTAGATATTTCCTAGGCATGATGAGTAATCAGAGGAGTGAGTCTCTCAACTCAAGGCTTCATGTGAACCTGAACAGGAAGATGCAACTTGTTGATTTGTTGCAGCATGTTGAGCATTGTGTATCCATAATGCGTAAGAATGAAGCAGCATTAGACGCAGTTGCGTCACATACGATACCCTTCACTAAGCTGAATGCACACCCTCTAGAGATTGCTGACTCTTATATTTATACTCCTGCGATGTTTCCAAAGGTAAAGCGTCAGATTGTCGAAGGAACAAAGTGGCAGGTTGCAGACAGTGTGGCGTGTGATGCTTTGGTCGTGTTTGGAGTTTTGCGCAAAGTCCCATATGATAAAGTCCCATATGCCAAGGATGCTAGTGAATTGCAAGGTAAGGATGGTAAGGACTCGGATGCTAAGGTTCCTACAGACTTGGAGGGTAAGGATGGTGATGACTTGCATGCCAAAAACTTGGATGGTAAGGCTCCCAATGACTTGGAAGGAAAGGATGATGTGGACTTGGATGCAAAAATCCTGGATGGTAAGGATCCCAATGACTTGGAAGGTAAGGGCAGTGAGGAGTTGGATGCAAAAAAGTTGGATGCATAAGGCGTGAATGCTAAGTCTGTGGATGTTAGATATCACGTGACATGTCTGTTCAGAGGAGCAAGACTGGATGCTGCAGCTTGTAAATGTAGAAAGTTGGAAAGTGAGGATTACCCATGCGCACATATATTTTGCATTCTAGATTATCTTGGTGTACGCACATTTCCAAAAAAATTGTGAAGAAAAGATGGACAATGCATACCAAGCCAACGTTCCCTTCTTCGAGGACTGCGAATACTCATGTATGGTCTGATCACATGAAAAATTATCATCAACTTGGCTAGTGACGCTTTATTCACAGCTGCAGCTAGCAATTCACAGTCAGAACAGGTGATGGAGCTCCTCCGGAGTATATTGGTTCCGGAGACAAAACTGATTTGGCTGAAGGCCAGAAATCATTTGTTCCTTTGCCGGTGTACTACTCTACTGCTCGCGGATGCTGCATTGGTGACGTGGAAAATCCAATCAAAATAGTTCCAAAAGGGCGACCAACCATCGAAGAATCGAACATGAGGATTAACTCTAGGCGCGAGCGGATGAGAGGGAAAAAAAGCATTGAAGTTAGTGCACATGTTTATCTCATTGTTCATTTACATACATGCTTACAATGTAATATGTTCTTCGGGAGAATGTTCACATGTTTTTCTTCAATTTACGCAAGAAAAAATGGGGGAAATCAAAGGGCCCAAGGACGAGGAAGCGAAAAGATAAAGAGTCAGAGACAAAGTTAGAGAGAGAGTTAGAAACAAAAGAAGTGGAAGATTCAGATTCAGAAGAAGAGGAAGATTCAAATACAGAAGAAGAGGAAGATTCAGATGCACAAGAAGAGGAAGATTCAGATGCAGAAAATGGTGGGCTGAGGAGGTCTACAAAGAAACCATTGAAGGATGGTAGGCTGCGGAAGGGTACGAAGAGACCGTTCAAGGATGGTAGGCTGCCAAAGGGTAGGAGGAGACCATTGGAGGTTGCTGATACGTCCATTTTGCATCATGCTTTTATATCTATATTTATTGCATTATGGACTATTATTATACGTTATGTCACAATACTTATGACTATTCTCTCTTAACAAGGTTTAACATGAAGAGGGAGAATGCCGGCAGCTGGGATTCTGGGATGGAAAAGGAGCAAATATTGGAGACCTGTTCTGCACAGCTCCAAAAGTCCTGAAACTCCATGAAAGTCATTTTGGAATTAATGATAATTATTGAGCGAAAGAAGTACCAGAGGGGGCCCACACCCTGGCCACGAGGGTGGGGGCGCGCCCACCCTTACAGGGCGCACCCCCTGCCTCGTGGGCCCCCTGGTGGCCCTCCAGTTCCCATCTTCTGCTATATGAAGTCTTTTACCCTGGAAAAAAAATCATAAGCAAGCTTAGGGGATGAAACTCCACCGCCACGAGGCGGAACCTTGGCGGAACCAATCTAG